TACCTTACACATATGTGCCTTAATTTGAAAGGCATTTATATCTATAGATCCACGATTAGACAGGCTGCGTGACAAATATTATAACGATGATGTTTAAAAGCAGAAAAATCTTAACGTCTGTAAGTTTAAATAAGCATGAGTACTGTCTTTCTAAGAGCTCGACTAAATGACAAAAAGGGCAGCGATACAGACTTTCACAGCACTCGTCTATGTTAATCGCAGCAAAAATTGCGCCGAGGGGGAATCGAACCCCCGGCTCCCCGACGCTGCTTGATGGCAACGGAGAATTTTACCACTAAACCATCGGCGCTTTGATGATATTTTGTCGCTGTGGACGTGGTGGGTGACGACGCTTGCGGCAATCATGTTGTCAAGCGTTGCGTGGATCGCTGTGGGGATGGTTTGAGGGTTCAGATTCACGTTGTCGTAGAGACTTCGCCCTCCTTCATGTCAACGGTGGCCCAAGTTGTTCTTCCAACTGTCTGTCAAACTTTCCGCAAAGTCTTCTAACCGAAAATAAAAGCACACAATCGAGTCGCGTGTTTTCAAGGCTCGTGGGCTTCCAGGGGCTGGGCTAGCTAGTGAGATACATGCTTAACCGGGGATTGTCAAGCTGTTCTGCCATTGGCCTGATACTTGCGACCTTTTGGGAGTGTGTTGTCACTGTGAACAGGAAAGCAGCCAATTGCAATTGCCCTCCAGACTCTTCACGCGGATAATCATGTGGGCTTTTCAAGCAGGCTGTGCGCAGGCTGTGCGCAGGTTGCGGCAGGCAATGACGGCGAGGCGATTCTCTCGGCTGACATGCATAATGGCGTCGCCCAAAATTTACCCCTCACGGACATCCCACTCCCATGTTTCTTCTCGTCTATGCTTCACACTCCAAAGGGCGACTTCTTCTGGCTGGCGTCACTGCTCGTCCGAAGAAGACGGCGTTGATCGCGTCCTCCACTCGCCAATCGCAGTCATCGAATACGAGATATAGCATACGGCGGATTTAGTCATCGTAACCCATAAATGGACCATGGATCCCTTCTCGGCAGCTACCGGCGTAGCTGGCCTCATATCCTTGGGTATCGAGGTTTGCAAAGGCCTGAACGCGTACTGTCGAGATTATCAAAGCAGAGACAGTGACATCCTCGCCCTCAGTCAACATGCCAAAAGTTTGGAGGATTTCCTACGGTTGATCGAAGGCCGTATGAAGGGAAACTTCCAGGTCGATCAATCTCTAGCAACGACTTTCGAGGATTGTCATGCCACATGCAACATGTGTCTGCAGGACTTCGCAGCGCTCAACACCAAGTATGCTCGTCCGAAAGCTGTTTCTGGATACAGAAAGCAGGGCAAGGCATTTGTACGACAACTACAGTCTCCGTTTCATAAACACAAGTTCGATGGTCTCAAATCCCAGATGCTCGAATTTCAAAATGCTCTCTCTAGCTGCTTGCTTTTGCTAAACTAGTAAGTCTCCCCATAGAATAGGGATGGCGTCATCCTAATAATCCATAGTGATCGCACGACGGAAGTTCTTCATACCACAGTCTCTGAGGCTGCCAAAATATCTTCTGCTATCGTCTTACAGGGGCAAAGAACAACAGACCAAATATCCCTTTTGCTACCCCAGATAGACAAGAGCATAGACGATAGATTGAGCCGACTGGAAGAACTGGTTTTAGCACGCTCCAACAAAGCACCACAGACCACCCAGTTTCATGTCCAAGGAGAAGGGAAAACGATTCCTATAGACGATCGGCAAGATTTGAACACCAGTGGCAATTTATTTGATCCCGGCCGACAGTCCACCGAAAGCCCCTCATCTAGTGTTGATATTGCTATGGAACCGTACCCCCAGAGATATCAGCAGCTTGAAGAAAGAAATACGCCATTGCTTTCGAATTTTGTTTGCACATGCAAACACGCCCCTAAATGTCAACCTGGTTATCGAAGCCCCGAAATACTAGAACACAAAGAAGTGTGCCCTGCTGCCTTTCTTAACAAGAGAAGACGAACGATATCTGGCGAGATCAGGATTTTCAGCACTCTTCTTCGTTGGAAAGTCAGCGTCCGCTATTCTCGGTTTTTCCTGGAAGATCTCCAGGTGCAGTCCAATTTAACTGTGACAGCTATTCATGACAATAGCCCTGCATTCAAGCTCATAAACTCCTTGGATGAATTTAATCGTCAAATGACAGAAGATGAGGTGGAAGCGAAATTGTCGATTATTACCAGAGGCTTGCGTCAATTGTTCATGGGTCACAAAGCCTGGCCAACGGACATAACGAGGACAGACGAAAACATTATCCACGTAAGTTACATATGATATCGATTTGAACAGGCTCTGTTGACCAGACACCAGCGAGCTTGCGCTGTGTTTTCGTCGAAAAAATGGCCTGATAACACGCATCACCTCTTTGTCCAGCTGTTAGCAGCTTTGGTGTCGATGGGTGTTCCCATTAATGGAGATGGCCGTTACGGGTAAGTAAGAGATATGATAAAAAGATTACTAGCTGACTTCTCAAAAGTACCCCGCTACGGTGGTTCTTGTATTATCACGAGCTCAATGGATCAGATTTGAGCATACCAAAAAGAACGGATGGCTACCTTGATCACATTCAGCCATACAGCTTCATCGCTCGAGAATTGATACTTCAAGGCGCCATTTATTCAGAGAAACTGGAAATCTATCCACTTCCAAGGACCTCGTGGGCCCTGTCAGCCCTCTTACCTCATCTTGGAGACGCCCTTCATGGTGCGTACACGGCATCTTTTCCTGGCCAACTGAAAACTTCTTGCTAATGTACTAGAAGGATTCGATCACGGACCATTATCATCGGCTTTAATTCGAAGGTCAGAGGTCGATGTTCGCCGGCTACTTTGCCAGTCAGTCGATCATGTTCTGAAAAGGGGCACCATGAACAAACGCCGTTACATGTCTCTGTGTACTGGCCTAAAGGCTTGAAAATACTGTTCGAATTGGCAAATGATGCGTGCGCCTCAATTATTGATGCGACAGACTCAACGGGTTATACGCCGCTGCAATGCGCCATTTATTGGCCCCAAGCCGAGTCCGTGGCCATGTTGCTGGAAAAGAACGCGACAGCTGATCTTGAGGACATGTCGACCTATACAACTTATGACGAGGCCTCCTATGGGCATTACAAGCTCCATGATAAGGAAGTTTGCAAGGTTCTGGTAGCGGCTCTTGTAGACCGCAGAACAAAGATGCTGCAATATGCCCTTGAACACCTCCCCGAATCAGAAGTGGCTCGTTTCGACCTGAGGAACGTGTCATTCTTGAAAGAGACCGCATTCGAAGTTGGCGAGTCATTGAAGTCTTGCACCGCCTGGGTTCCGGCAGATTTCGTAAAGGTTAGGCCTGGGTCCGTTTACCATTCGCCCTTTATGACCTATATCTTAGCAGAGGCCATGTTCCAGGCTGGCTTCCATAACACTGATTCAAGTTGGAATGGATGTACACCTCTCATGATGCAGAACTACAACGATCTTGCAGACTTTTTAAGAATTTTTAGTTGGTTTCGCCAAAAACAAGCGAACTTCCTCGCGATTATTCCAGCTGGTTTACTTTCACGATCAGGAAGCCCCCTTCCAGGACCAATTCAATTCCGCGCAATACATCGTGTTGCGAGCATGCTGGGGTATGGAACGGCGTGCATGTCAAAAGGTGACGACAACCAGTACTCTCAAATTCGGCGTCAGTATCTTTGTCTGTTGCGGAAGATATTTTTAGAATCATGTCGAGATCCATGTCAATGCTACTGTGCGCCGGAGGGCTGCGACTCAATCTCCTTGCTTGCGAAGGCGTGGTCTAGACTACTCCGTGATCGTCTTCGAATGTTCTCCGACGGTCGCTATCAACCTCAAGTTAGCAACCAATCCGAGGACTTGGGCATGATGCTTGGCATAATTTCCGAGGAGCAAGATGATGTTAGGGCCGGATTCGTCCGAGTTTGTACCTTCGATCGTCTGGAAATGCGTCATACTTGTTGTACACACGACTTAGACTGTCATGACATTGACACACTAGAGCCGCGTATCAAACTCATGGATTATACGGAGGCCGAAGAAATACGAGATGAGGACCGATATTTGGCGGAGACTTTGGAAGATCTCATGGTTGAATTCAAGCCAAGGCTGGGTGACAGGACGCAGTCCTTTCGTGTCTTCGGGGATTACTGGAATAAGCGAATGGATGAAGTGAATAAGGGGAAAGATTCGATATCATTGGAGGGAGCTGAGGCATGTGCCGACATTGGTGTTTATCTCAAGGCGCAATGAAAGTTTGCTTCCTTATTAGTTGAAGGAATGATTCGGCCAGGGACCGTTTCATATCTACCATATGCCTCTTGAAGAAATGTCCCAGTTCTATGTGTGTACTCGCACAATTAGTGGCTGCCTATCACGTCGCCATTGAACAGCATAGCTATTCAAAAAGAATCAGGGTTATAGACGATGATCTGCGTTGCGGACGACACTTATTTTCATCTTGAAAATATGCTATCTAGTCTCACATTCTGCACAACGTTTCCCCTTTACCCTTTTTCTGTCTTTTCAATTGCCGGCGTCAATTTTGAAAAGGGATCGGTTCGTCCATAATTAACTCTAACATTTGCAACGGAATTATACGCTCTTCTGTTCGTCATGCCAGCGCATACAGGATTGTCCCTAATCACAATGTGCCTACAGGCGTGGAATCTTCAAGTATTGATAGCCAATGATTGTTATATCCGAAGTCCTCAGCTTGCGATCTAACAGACCTGGTTGACCGAGATTGTTACATGGCTCAAGCTTCGAATCGTAACATTACCGCCGGTGAAGGTTTACCGGTGGGATGAACTCTTTAAAACCCCCTTGCAACAACTACAACAGATTAAAGTTCACGGAGTTCATCACATTGATGCCCACCCCAACTCCCTCGCCCCTCACCTCCTTTTCCCAACTCAACCCAACTTCAACCCCAACATTACCAAACGTCGTTCACGATGGTCGCCCTGACTCTCACCCTCCCCCTCGCGACCCTCGCCGCGGCCGCGCCAGGGAAACTCGGCATCGTTGTCGCCCGCTTCAAAGAATCCCTCGACCCCTGGGCGCCGCATTCCAACCTCACCACAATCTACGCCAAAGGCAACGTCCCGCAGGAAAACGACACAATCCAGCACTCCTCCTTCCGCTCCTACGTCCCGCTCCCCAACATCGGCCGCGAAGGCCATACGCACCTCTTCCACATCGCCACAAACTACGACACCCTCGACGACGTCATGATCTTCACCCAGGCGGACCCGTTCGACCTGCTCGCGCCCGCCGCCACGACCCCGGACCAGATGATCGAGAAGGCGCTGCAGGTCCCCGCCGACGACGTCACGCCCTTCAACCCGACTTTGTTTCATGACGTCGCGGACTGGACCAAGATCGACTGGAACAGTTCCAAGCAGGCGCTCTGGATCACGGAGAGCCAGAAGAAGACGCTGGCGCTGGCGCCGTACACGCCCGGGCAGTTCTGGACTAGGGTGGTCGGCAGCCGGCACCCGCCTGCGATCCGGGCGATGCACGGCGGCACGTTTGCCGTGAGGCGGGAGACGATTCAAAGGCTTCCGAGGGTTGTTTATCAGAAAGCGCTGGATGAGTTTGAGAAGGCGAACTCGAGCAACCCTGAGATCGGATTCTTCATGGAGAGGATGTGGGCGCCGATGTTTTCGGACAAGTACAGGTTGGCGGCGGTCGAAAACCCGTGAGGGTGCATCTAGTGCTAGGCAGCGGTGGAAAAAGAGACGTTGATAAAAAAGTAGAGGCAAAAACTTGCGCGAGAAGATCGAATAGAGAACGCATTAGCAACAAAAAGCAAAAGAAACTCCTCGACGGGGAATTGAACCCCGGTCCCCGGCGTTTAGTACAATGACAAGCCGATATCCTCACCACTAGACTATCGAGGATTTGCTGATGGAAAAGGATCAAAGTTTGCATCTGATCAGCCTCGCGCGCAAAAGTGGGGCGACAAGTCTACCGAATGTCCACAAACACCAACGCGCAGTTCAAGCCGAATAGCCCCCCTATTTTTCCTACGCTACAACAACTACTTTTCCTATCTTTACTACTATTGTTTACATTAAATTTACTATTCTTATTACTGCTATTATTACTACTATTATTACTACTATCATTGTCGTCTATCATCGTCATCATCTGCCGTCGTCCTCTGTCGTCGTCCTCTATTGTCGTCGTCGTCTATCGTCATCTTCTATCGTCGTCCTTGTCAAAGTTACCCGACACACAGGACATCTAGTCGTTTAGACACAGGAAAATTTAGCGGTCTCAAGCCGAAAAGGCATAAGTCGTAGGCGCCTTTCAATTGTATTCATTTAAGTTCATTAAGTGCTTCAAGCCTCAGAAGAAAACCAATCGTTCCCCTCGTGGACGCACAGTCTTTGCTGCCTGCCAAATGACAATCGCTCCACCCCAACGCCGATGCAGAACCCATCCCGGTATTACTCCGCTTGCCTGAACCGGCACCGCTCTCTCTCATGGGTATCTCTGTACCATTTTGTGGTCAATTGTTTCGTGCAAGGAAAGTTCCTACACTGATAGGGCTGTCTCTTCTCGCGCGTGAACGCACACCCCTCGCGGATGTGCTTGTTGCGGTTGCTGACGCTGGAAAACGTCTTGGTGCACTGCGGCGTCGGGCACGGCAGCCTACCACCCCGTGTCATGTGGTCGCGCGACGACTGCCTGGAGGCTGTGGAGGCGATGCTACTGCAGAGACGGTTAGCATTGTTCGGTTCGGTTGACCATGAGAACATACCTGATGCTGGATGACGAGACGTTGCGGCGCATACCTAGCGTGTTCAAAGAAGAGAAGCTGCTGTTCGGGGTGATGCCGGCTTCTGACCCGTATGCAGGTGATGGTGGAACGATGGATGGGGTGGCCGATTGAAAAGGGTCTGGCTTGGGTGTGACCAGGACATTGTGCATCGCGAGGTACTCTGCCAGCAGGGTATATGAACGGGCGTATCCGGGAAGGGTCCCGGAGATGGTTTGGAGAATGCGAGTTGTCGAGCCGTGAAGACCTACGATGTTGTTAGCACTGTGGCTATCAAGGAAATTGAGTTTCGCTCACCGATCACCAAAGAGAGAACGACAGAGAATGCGACCGAGGCCAACAGCATCATGGTCGAGGACAGCGCATCTTCCCAGCTATTCGGGAGTGCAGGCGGCGTTCTTGACCCCACTCTCGCCATTTCCTCAAAGCGGTCCATGTGGAGGAAGTCTGCCCACATGAAGTCGTCTTGTTGCGTCGATGAGGTCGAATGAGCTGCAGACCGCGGTGGAGACCGACCTGGGATGGCCTGGCCTTGGGCGACCCCTTGCCGGCTCTCGTGAGTCTCAAACGCCCTTTGAATGGCGGCAAGTCTACTTCCAGACGCGGAGCTTCGCGATGGGGCAGCTTCCCTCCGTCTCTCAAGCGCCAGAAGGCCTTGGACGAGTCCTTGGAAGTGGTGCAGGTTGCCGAGATCAAGGCCGCATGATGGCTCGTCTGCGGGAATGAACTCCCACATTTCGTGTGCAACCTTGTCGAACGGTATACAAGACGAGATGGGCAGAATTGAGCGCCATTTACTAATGTCGTTGCAGAATCTACATTTATATCAGCGTCTGTCACTTTAAGGTATTAGCTTTGCCCAGCATTGCCAACGTACTGGTTGAAGATGGCCCCGTCATTCTTGAAAAAGGTAAGGCAAATGGCATTTCCCACCAACAGCGAGTCGACAACCTCGCCCAAGGCCGATGGCGGGCTGTCTTGCATGAGGCCACGGAAGACACTGATGCCACGATACCAAACGCCGTCGCCATCCATGTACTCGTCTTCCAAGTCTTTCAATTCATCGTAAGTCGAGCGGTTACATACGTCCCGTAGCTTGGAGCACAATTCGTGCATGCTCGTGACGAGATCGCGACCAAGCAAGTGTCTCTGACGTCGCGAGCCTTTGAGCTGCACGGGGTCGTTCCGTAGATTCGACATCGGTCGCCGGAGGGGCCTTTCGGTTGATGTTGACATGCTTTGGTTGACCAACGGGTACGGCGAGAGGGCCTCGTCCCCAGAAGGGAACCCCGCGGCGGACTCAACGGCGGACTCAACGGCGTCTGGCTTGCTCACCGTGAACCCAGCATAATGGTCCATGAGGCTGAGCTCCGCAAACGAGTTGACAGTATCCTCCGGTAGGAGTTCTGCTGGCGGGTTAGTTACACCGGATGACAAGAGAATCTGCATGATCTCCGTGTCGTCGTTGAAAAGCGCAATCGCAGCAGCCTCTTGCGCACCATCGGCCATGATGTTGTGGCTCAGAATCAAGCGCACCATGTCGGCTTGGCCCCAGAAGGCAGCAGCCGAAAGGGGAGTGAGAACAACACCGCTGCCAGCCTCTTCGCCCTGGTAGACACCCAAGAAAGTGGCCCCTTGTTGGAGGAGTCCGCCGACGTGCCCTGAATGACCGAGCCGGATTGCTACATGCAGGGCGTCGTGGGTTATGTCCGCGAGACATGGCCCTTGTTGGCTGTCGCGTTTGTCCTTGGTCCGTGACGCGAGATCCAGAACGTAGCGGTAGATATCTAGACGGCCACAGTCTAGTAGCTTAAGCAGCAGGTCTGGACTCGTCTGCCATTCAATCTCGCCGGAGCGCACGACTGGCTCGCACAGCTCATGCAATGATGCGAGGTCACCGGCAAGGGCGATTTCGGTGAATCGAGCACTCAGGCCTTCGAGATAGTCGTCGGTGACTATGTCGGGTATGAGTCCGAGAGAAAAGCAGGAGTCTAGGTCATCCAGGCCGGCGTCGACGCTCCTCTGGTGCATATCATGAAGCTGGTTCATAGTTAACAGCCCTTGTGACGGGTGGAGTTGAACACCAACACCGGCATAGAGGGCCCTATCCAAGAGCAGATCTCGGATGAGAAGGCGTAGCTCGATAGTGGTGGGGTGGTTTGGCGAGATGGACTCGAGGTGCTGCAAATGAGACTTGAGGGTGTTATAGTTGGCCAAGAGGGAAGCAAAGTCGAAAGGGGATGGGATGGCGATGGCGAGAGACTGCAAGAGAGACAGACTGTGGACGTCGAGCTCTATGGTCTTGGCCGGCCGAGACTTGGAGAGAGTGAAGGCCGGTTGAGGGCATGGGGAGGAGTGGAGAGGCAGGTAGATGCCTGAGCCGGGTGAGACGGCTTGGAAGATTTCGCCGCTGTTGCCAAGCTGTCAGTTTGTGGCTGGGATGCCGCGCCGTCGAGTCGGACTGCGCTTCGGTGACGCTGCAACGGCGGAAGATGTTGGAGGTGAGGTCTCAACCCCGGCACTTGCAGATCCCAAAGCAGTTTGAAAGTGTAACAGGCCAGTTTCTACTGTTCTCATCCGCTCAAGGTGTGCATGACACATCCAAAAAGAGTTGCGGGAATCAAATCCTCCGAGATCGCAAGTTATGAACAGCTATTTGCGTACCTTTCAAATACTTCATTATAAGCGAAGCAGGGGACGTCATCAATGAAGTCGTGGGTTCGTCGAGGGGCACTCCCTCCTGTCCCGTTTATAGGCCATGATAAAGCACTTGAGTGAGATTTGAGGTTCTCATCAATGTCGGCAAGACGCAGGTTGAGGCCGAGAGATGACAGGGAAGCCATCTCGAAAGCCTAAGGCGGCATTGGTGTCTAGAACGGGGTTCCAAGGATGATAACGGTAGGGTTTACGTCAAATTAGTGGACGAAGGATGAGTGCATATCACAAAACGATAGAACAGGATTAGGTTCGGTGCCGTGAATTGTGTGTGAAGAAGCCGGAAGACGGGGTTGAAAAAGGCTGCCTGGAGCGGTCCGGCGCTGAGGCTGACATGAAAGGGGCCCCCGGAGGTGTGGTGGGGCCACGAGATTTAGGAATCGGCGGGCAGGTCACGCGGGGCACCGGCTTAGCGGCCTGGGGCTCTGGTTGGGCCGTCTGGGGATCGCTCGGTATGCGTCGGTACGCACTGAGAGAAAAACGTGATGTCCTGCATATTCGCGACGGAAGGGAATGATGGCTGGCTATTCGCTGACGGAACTATACGAGATCGTTCCGGATGAAGCAGCTGGGTTCTCGGGATGGGCGCCCTTGGCTGCCTGAAGTTTAAGCATGTTCACACCGAGATTAGGAACACTGATGGAGCGTGTCGGCATGCATCTCTGTTCAGGTGATTATTTGATACGGCGATCCATTGATCTGAATTGGTTTGCTTACTATGACATTCGGGGTTTCATGAAGATAGAATGACCTGTAAAAATATGGTAGGGAGAGGGAAACAGGATGATATTCACAAGGAAAGAAACAGCTTCAACACTGGTTCAACTGGAAAACCAGGTACGTACCGATGTGCTGACTCATCTTGAGTGCACGTCTCCACCACTGAATTCGGCCCGCTCCCATTGGCCGACGCCTCTTAATTGAATTGTCCCCACGACGCGCTCGACGCGTCCCCTGCGACGCCGACACCCCAGCCAGACGCAACATTTCTCTCCTCACCACCACCAGAACCCGTCGTCATCCTCGCCAACCCACATGCCCAGATAACCTCAAGATGTTGAAACAAGACTACAACCGGATCGACCCCAAGCGGCGTAATGTCCTCGACCATCGCAAGAAGCAGTTCGCGTCGCCCACGTACAAGGAGGCCGAGTACCCCCACCGCCTCAACTTCTACGCCGATGCGCCCACGGCAGACATCACCCTCGAGCAGTTTGAACAATGGGCCATTGACCGCCTAAGGAGTGCGTCCTGTGCTTGACCGATCCATACCACCTGCTGACATGTCCAGTCCTCGCCGAGCTCGAAGCCTGCGCCTTCCGCAACAAGTCTCCCCAAGAAGTCGCGAACCACATGAAGCCGCTGCTCGACAAGTACCTTCCCCTCGAATCGAACATGTCACACTCGCCGAAGCTCTTCTCCCAACGCCAAAAAGACCACTACAGCCACTTTATCCTGCGCCTGGCCTTCTCGAGGACAGAAGACCTCCGCCGCCGCTTCGTCCGTGTAGAGACCATGCTCTTCCGCCTGCGGCTAAACAGCGACGACCTGAGGGAGCGTACTGCCTTCGTCAAAAGTCTGAGTCTCGACTGGTGGGAGACTGTCACGGAAGAGGAGAAGACAATGTACGCTCAAGAGCTGAAGTCCATGTCACGCACGCGAGGCGCCAACGCCATGGAGGACGACGACTGGTTCAAGGTCGACTGGGACCGTGTACCGGAACTCGTGGAGCAGCGCAAGGTGTTTTTGAAGAAGGGCAAGGCATTCGTACCAGGGAGAGAACAGGCCAGCATGGTCGTTGGCGAATTCGTCTCCAGGTTGGAGAGGCAGCTGGAGGTATGCATCACCGACATTAGGAGGGAGACAAAGACTAACGCCAACAGCTCACGGCCCGCGCGCTCCCCCGTCTCGACGAGGACGACCGCCTCACTCCAATCCTCGATCACCTCTCCAAGAACTTCATCACCCCCGACAGCTCCTACAGCTCCAACACGGGAGCCCCCGTCGGCGCCGAGATCACCGCCCGCAACATCGACAACCTGGCCCAACACTTCCCGGCCTGCATGTCCCACCTGCACCGCTCTCTTCGCCGCGATGCCCACCTCAAACACTACGGCCGTCTGCAGTACACCCTGTTCCTCAAGGGTATCGGCCTGAATCTCGAGGAGTGCCTGGTCTTCTGGCGCCAGGGCTTCCGCAACATCACCGACGATACGTTCAACAAGGAATACCGCTACAACGTGCGGCACGTCTACGGCGACGTCGGAGGCGACTCGAACCGCCGCGGCGGCGGCTACAGCCCATTCAGCTGCCAAAAGATTCTGACCGAGCACCCTCCCGGCCCAGGCGAGGCCCACGGCTGCCCCTACCGCCACTTTAACCTCGAGAACCTCACGACGCTGGTACAAGCCATGGGCGTGAGCGACCGGGCCACTTTGAACGGAGTCAAGGAGGATAAAGAAAACCAAAAGTTTCACATGGCGTGTAATCGGTATGTGTCTACCCTCAACCAGCCCTACGGCTGGTCAGCCGCTCCATTCACTCTGACCAACACATGCCTAGCGTGTTCGAGCACCTTCACAAGCAGGAACTCAAAAAGGCAAAAGACGAGGGCGTCTTCACTTCTGCACAACTCGAGACCATTGTGCACCCTAACGAATACTTTAAGCGCAGCTACCTGCTCAAGAACCTCGACAAGCAGGCGGACGTCAAGATGGAGGAGTGAACAGAGTAAGGCATGCAGGGCAAGGGTCACGAGACGGCTCAGAATGCCAGAAGCTCCTGGTTTCTCAAGCTTTGATGAAGCTTTGATTAAGCTCTGTCTGGCTCCGTGGGGGAGGAACGGCAGGCTTGCATTTGGGCCTGACTAATGAAGGGTGGCTTGATGAAAGGGCGGGTTCCACGACGGTCTGGACCTTTTTGGGAGGCGTTGGATAAGACACTGGGCAAATGTCTCGCAGGATTACACTTATGAACATACAAGAGGCAGCCAGCAGCTTGGTTCCGTCTCTCTCACGGACCATGAGTATAATTCGGCGTTCAGGATTTTGGAGGGGTGTATATGCAGCAGCAACACGTTATTTTCTGACGGAGCAAGGACAAAGTCGACTGTGCGTACTTTGAGTTGTTTTAATGAGTTTCTCACGAGGCATGTTCCTTGCGGGCATTTGACATTTTCCACGTGCTCGTGTCTTGTTTCACCTCAAAATTTGAAGGAAGAAGAAAGGAAGAGGAAAGCGCCAAGCTGCCGATTGTTTCCCGCATAGTCCCTTCGGAACCGGCACGTCGCAGGAGATCTGGACTTTCCGTCGGCCGCGGAGGGAGAGAAACAGACAGACACACAAAGGGGAGTGCCAAGGTGGGATCCGCCGTACATCGATCGGGGTGCCGCTTCGTTCGGTTTCGTACCTCGGGAGGCTTGTCTTCATTTTGTTCTGAACCTTTTGCAATACCTCGGCTTCGGCGGGCGGCAGTTTTGGAGTTTCAATCCGCGGACGGTGTAGGCGAAACGGACGGACGGACTGAGCCGCGGCCCTTTGCCTTTGAGGGAGAGGAAGGGAAGGGATGAGGAGGCTAGAGACGGGCCGTTTCTGTTGAGAGAGGATTTTGTCTTTGCCGTCTGGGCGGAGGCAGCCAAGGACCTCGGATGGGTGAGGGGAGTTTGCGTGGAGTTGTGTGTTTGAGGCGGCATGCTGCTCGTCCGCGAGAAACACCGAGGAGGATACGGCGGAAATGCACACGCTGCTGAGTTACACGGACTTTCAAGACGGCCAAGGGAGAGCAGCAGCAGCAGCTTTGCAGACGGAAGGTCTCGACTTTGGGCAGGTGATGCATATCACGGGAGTCTTTGCCTGTCTGTGGCCTGCGTTCCTGCTTTTCCCGTGCCTTGCACTGCAGCACTTTTTTCATCCGAAGAAACGTTGAGGCGCGGTTGGAGATTGATTTATGTTCCTGGCGCTCGAATCGAGCGATTGCGGTGGAATCTGTTGGCTCGCATGGCGCTTTTGCGACAGGCGCGTGTTGCGCGCGTGCGCTCTCAGGCCATCAGAAAGGAAATCATGTGGGGAGATTGTGTGAAGCTTTTCGCATTGGATGGCTTTGAAGCCGTGTCTGCGATGGCGGAGGGCTGGAATGGGAGGCTGCGATCACCCGTGCGCGTGTAAGTGAGCTGATGGGACGATGTGTTTGTTGGGCGGCGAAGATGAGGGCTGCGCCTAATTACACGCCTTTTGTGCAAAGGTCACGGCAAGAGAGGGCATTCGCATCTCGTAGGATGTGGGCTCACGTCTGGGTGTTGGTGTTGCGCGCGTGATGAATGGTGACTGACTGTCCATCAGCATACCATCAACAGCGAGCGCATGTCTCTCACTACCCGTCACGGACCTCTCTAGAACCTCAACCAACTAAGGGCAATTTCGGGAAATCGAAAAAACCCAACCCGCTGAAAAGCAACCTACAATGAGCGGTGCCCGAAGGTTCCATCACTTTCCCCAGTTCTACTTCGTAGCTTCCCCAGCCAGGGCGTTGTCTGCCGCAGTCGTCGGCCGGTCTAGACCACCGTCAAAACCTCTCCAGGCCAGGTTTTGGAGGGAACTCGGGCCAGGGGTGGTCTAGACCCTTTTGCATGGGCCTTGGTGTTCCTCCTGGCCCCTGGTCGACCGTTGTGCTCTGCTCTCGCGATGGACGGGTGCGGGCGCGGGCTGGGCCTTGATTGAATCTTGAACTGCCCGGGGTCCCTGTGCCTGAGATGAGGCTTTGCAGCGGCAAGGCAAAAAAGTGAGGGAGAGAGAGAGGGTCGCGATGGACGTCGCTGTTTGCCATGCCGAGGCTCGCCGATCGGAACGAATGAAATTGTCCCTGCGGTTGCGACTAGCTTTTCTGCAGTGGAGCTGGAGAAAGCTGAGGCTCTGTCTTGAGGCCGGTCTGGTCTTGTCTCTGGTCTTGAACCCCCGTTGCCCCATGATTTGCTATGCCATGATTCCACAGGTGTGCCCTGGCAGGTGAAATGAACCGAGGGGGTAAGGCAGGTGGGAAATGCTGGAGGATCTAGAACCTGGTGGTGTATCTGTATCCATCGTGCAGCTATTCGCGATATGTCGAATATGCAACAACCAAACACACGCCTGTCGGAGAAAAAGCAGCTTAAATCATCGTGACCCTGTTTCTGGCCCCCTCCCCTCCGTTTCCGTGATTACCGTAGTGAATGGAAACACGGTTCGAAAAAAGGGTGACGGGGGCCCAGCCAGGCCTACGCAACTTCGCTACGCCGCGCCGCGAGAAGGTCCAAGGAAACTAAGGTAATTACTGAATCCAGAAACGGGCGTGCTGCTGCAAGCCTGGATCCGGGAAAACGGAGGATGGGCGCCATTAACGGTTCGCCGGATTATGCACAATGACCTCACCCCAAGGGGGGAACCGCACCAGCTTGGCCTCGACTCACCTCACCCACCGACAGGTTTGACGGGGGGCCAGACCACCACCCCATACTCAGATGAGAGAGCAGCAGCATTCGGGTGAGAAGCAGGAGATAGATGCACACGCCCTTTTCGCTTTCCTCCTTTGGGGCATGGGATGCAGGACCTTACAGATGCTGCTGCTGTGTTCCCCCGCCCGCCGTACAGACGTGGGTTGGCCGCATCGTCAGATTTTCTCAAATAGCAACATGGACGCAACGCTAGAGATGTAGGGTAAGCCTGCCGTAGCTCAGCTTAGCCTCGGAGAGGCAGGGTGCGTCAAACGTTCTTGGACGCGACGACGACACTTGGCCAGCCCAGACGCACGCGAACCAAGGCCCTCAACACCATGAGCAATCAGGGCTCAGGGTCCCCAACCCAACCCTCCTCCATCGTCATCAAGGACCCTGGGGCCGGATGATACACCAGAAAAGAACGAGATAGGGGACTATCTTTGGGGGTGGTGCCCTGTACCATTGAACACGCAAAGATGAGCCAAGCTACTCTTGGGAAAACTATCCCGCGACAACATGCACACTCCCTACCCTTCAACTTGTCCAGCCCCCGTCTCCATCTCACCATCTTGAACCCTTCGAAAAGCCGACCTAAACCTGACTCTAGTTACTGCAGCGTCCACTGGGGCAGCCATCAAGCACGTGTGTCTTGGATCAGGAAAAGCCAGGCTTGGGGGCATGTTTCGGACGTCTGTGTGTTGCGGATGTATGAGTTGGTTATGTGGTTATGACGCCAGACCGGACCCCGGGTGACGAAATGCCGTGTGCCTAGCGGCTTCTCACGCCCTAGGTTATTCGGTGGCCCTCTGTCTCTCTCATTTGTCGGCGTCAGTCAGTCAGCCATCTGCTGTGCGACTGAGACAGACCTCCGCCGGGACCGGGATTCGAGATCAGGCGTGGATACATGGCTCCGAATAGTGGCATTTTGTGTTTTTCCCTCACCCAAATGTCCCATCAGCAATCAGCAGATGCGCGTTATCTGCCGATGTGCGAGTAAGGCGCCGCTTGGCTCTGCCTTGGGCGTTGGTTGGGAGCCCGTCAATTGGCGCCTCCGGCCCAATCAATCTATATTACCTGCAGCGAAGATCAATCTCAAAGTTTTTCTGCGCAGCGCGGAGATGGGGCCCTCGGGAGACGTCAGTGTAGATCACCAGTCACTGTGGTGCCGCGAACCCGACTCCACGGGTTGGGTTTTTGACTCGGGCACGAACGGTGGCTTTTTTCAGGCAGATGGACATGAAAGCTATGAGACAGACAGGCAGACAGACAGACGGTCGATCGGTCGGTCGGGCGGGGTTTGACGACGACAGGGGGATATGCGTCACGTCGGTGAAGCTATTCACGGCCGGTCTCTCGTACTCGCGCCGTCTTTGGCTCCCGTGTTAGCCTAACCAGCTCACCGGGTCAACTATTACACATATCCTCGGCCTCGTCATGGAGAGCGAGCGTGAGTATTTGGCATACGTAGCCTGAATTCCTTCGCTCCGCCATCATGACGGCAAGAAAGGGCACCGGCATTTCACGCCGTCGTCCTTGAGCCTCAACCCGTCCCTCTAAGCGTCGTTGAAAACCAAACATGCCGAGGCTGCCGAGGCATTCTGCCCCTTCTCCGTTGAAACGCACCGATCCCGCGAGAAACGTATGGGACCACACATCCAAGACGCCGAGATTCCTGCGGTGCCGGACTGCTTACGGATAGCTGTGCTACCAGGACATCGCATCTGCCCCGGACTCCCGGACTTTGTAAGAGCCAGACGGTGAGCCAAACACTCACTAGGTCGTGCAAGAATCGTACACACCCCCCTTCCCCGACGGCAAGGAATACAGACTCTTCCAGGACGACACTAGCAGGAGGTCGTGGAAGAGTCGGAAATCCCATCGTGGTAAGACCACCACACTCTAAAAAGAACTCGGGACGAAAGGGGAGCAGCAAAGACGAGCACCCCCCGGAGCCGATCATTCCCGCGCCATCTTTGCCCACTAATCACCCCGTTACCCAACCCGTGAACGCCGCGGCGCCCGTTCAGAGGTGCGTCGGGTTGATGTCATTGCAGACCCCGCCGGCCGAGTCTAGACCGTTTCGGCTGCGACGTTTCGTTGCGCTGCGTTGCGACGGTGAGAATGGGTTGGGGGTGTTCCTCTCTCTGCTGTCTGCCAAACCGAGCCTGGACAGTGACATTTCCAAACAGCCCCCCTCCCCCCGAGATGACACGCTGTAGGCGCGAAAACAGGGACCCTGAACAACCCGCGATGCGAGT